GTCTCAGCTAGAAGTCACTCTTAGACTTTGCATAGCTTACAGGTAGAGTCATGGCTTAGCAGTTTCAGTCAGTTTTGCCCTAGACATCATTTTTGTGTTTTGCATAGAGTGCAAGGCTTTAGAAATGAGAGGACTTTAGGCCACTTCCTCTATGGGCTCTCCCCTCCTCACCCCCTTAATTCAGTTCAGAGTCATGACATAAGCAACTATACAAATTGATATCAGAACAATCACTCTGGTTTTGCTATTTTAGGATTGATTCCCTTTCTCTGTACTGCTTACTTGCTTTTCATTCCATGTTCAGAATTTTCCTGTCATTTAATAGGAGCAGTTCTTGATAGACCCTGGTTCAAAGAAAAGAGAAACTCATTATATGGATGTTAAGACTTATTGGGTTGAATGTGGAAATGGCTATCAGAGTCACTTATTTTCAGAGCACACCTGTAGTGCAATAAAATAATTTGCATAGAGAGCACTATACAGTGTTCAAGGTTCAAGGATCTGTAAATATGTTTTTCTGCAATGCTGGATTTGCTCCATGGGCAGGCCATGGCTCCTTGCTCTTGCCATTACTGCTGTTTACTCAGGGTGGTCAGGTGGTCAAGGAAGGCAAGAAGAGCAGAGTAAATGACCTCCTGTTACCGCCAGGTTGCTGGGTTGTGACTTGACCAACACTCCTTCAGACTCCAGTAAGAGCTTTCACTAAGAGAAGCCTTCAGGGTTTAGCCTTTCAGTATCATCTGATATATTGAATGTAGGCAAAAGATTATTTTTTTAAAATGCATTCATCCCTTCGAATAGGACTGGCTCTAGAAAGAATTTTGCTGAACACCAATGCACAACTATATTTAACTGTGCTGATCGAGTAAAGTGTTATTTGCTTCCTCTAATGTCTGTGTAGTATTTCTAGTGGTGTTATGAGATTATACTCCAGAGACAGCTCCTCTGCAGTGAAACAGAATGGAGATGTGCGTACAGTCACCTGAAATGCAGGGACATAGAGGAGCATGTGTGTATGTCTGTGTATAAAAACACATGTGAGTATATACACGTATATATATGTGCTTTCAATTCTAATGTACCATGTCTTAGTAGAGAGATATACCTCAAGATCTTCATATTATTTCCAAAATCTCACCTTAGCTGGAACCCCTTTTTAGCATGGTTTCCTGAGGAAATGAGGCACTTGTGGTTATTCGGTCTGTGTTTCGGCTTTCGCATTTGGACTGTAACAATCTTCGACTTTCATTGCCAATTTTAATTAAATTTGATATGGGGGTAGAAGTCCCAGAGATACGAAGTTTTTACAGGATTTATGAAAACTCACTGCCAAGTACAGAAGGAAAATCCACTAATACTCGATCTGAAAGAAAGAGTGATGCTTGAGCTCACTCCTTTGAGACAATGAGATATTATGAATGCCCCAACCGTGGGAAAAACTTCAATCAGCACTCACATCTTACTAGACACTAGAGAATCCAACCACAAGATACACATTCATAGGAAACAAGGCTTCATTAGTTTTACCATGCACTTTGATACATGGAATATAATTAAAAGTGAACATCTTATGTGTCCTTCCCCTTGAGGTTTCACGCCCTTTATGCAGGTTTGTCTGTACACCAGGGAGAATTGAGCATTTGGTCCTAAACGAATGAAGAACATACTGCTTCCAGTATCCTGACTCAAAATCTTTCCAAGTATGGCATGAGACACTGATATAAGCAAAAACCTTCCACGAACTTTTAGCAAAGGATGTCATATATGGGATGACATGAAGAAAATCACAGTTTAGTTCTGATAAATATTTTTGAGCATAATGCTGTATGATTCAAAGGAAAGGTGTGGAATTCATATTAGTAGGACTTTATACACCTCCTGAACAAAGTGCTAGAATGACTTCCAAATAAGCAACACCCTTATAGTAAGATAAAGGAGGTGACGTGACAGTTTTCAAAACACTGAAACACCTGTTCCTTGAGTAATACACAGAGCAAAGTAAAGTTTGGGTTAAAGCTAAATCCAGTCTTGTATCTATGATTAATATCATATTGCAAATTCTCTCTCACGCACAATTGTTCCTACAGATGATACTGAAAGTTATTCTGGTTGAGATAACTTATGTAGCTTCCAAAACCGGGATGTGTTGATTGATTAAATTTTAGGGAAAGTTCCAGGCACATTATCTGAAAATACTATTAATGTTGTTTAGGGATACTGTGAAAAGCAACTGTCTGCTAGATTGTGACATGGAGAGAGCTTTTTAAAGGAAAATATCTGAAACCCAGATCTAGGAGAAAGGTTGCCAGAGTGATTCTATTCAGATCTATAACGTGCATTGGGTTTAGTTACTGCTGGGCTGAAAAAACTATGCACAACATGTGATTTAATTTATTTAACTACCCGTAGCTTTAGTTGCCAAGTCAAAGTGTCATAGGATTTCTGGTTTGGATATTCACCTGATTAGTTATGAAGAAGGAAAAATGAGAGTTTACCTGAACTGAATTTTCAGGGCAAAATTGCACAGGAGCTTGAACACAGAAATAATTTCATTTCATATGCACACATTTTCCCAGACACATTTATATTTTCAAAAGTAACAGTTACAAAAACTGTGTAGAATTCCAGAAACTGCAGAAGCTGCAGAATATATAAAACCACGTAACACAATACTTGAAATTCTGAGATGGTTTCTGTAAATAAGACTTCAGATCAATAGATTTAAACTGAATATTAAGAGCATATTATAATTTTTAAAAAAGAAGAGAATTCACCAAACTATGTTCCTAAGTGTGTTTTGCTAATCCTCAAGTTCTATAGTTTTCCCAGAATAGCTGGTATTCTAGCTTACCTCTATTTGATACTGTAATAAGGTCTTGTTCATTAATACTTCATTCATTCATACCTAAATGTCTTTAATGATTAAAACCAAAGTTAAAGAAATAACTTGATACATCGTCAACCTGTACAACCTCAGAAGGGTATATATTGGCTGTCAAACATGCATTATTTCTTAAAAGTTCTTACACATCAAGTATATAATTTATATACATGGTATATGCTGAACATCTTTATAATCACTGCATGAAGTTAAAATCCTTCCTTACACCTTCTTCCTCACAAACTAAATGAAGCCCTTACAGAGGACTAAAAAAGGTCTTCTCTTCTAATTTGCATAAATGTATGGACTGATATGATAGTCATCTTTTATTTGACCGCAGTGGGACAATAAATATCATACATATCTCTCTAAACAGTTAATATTTTATAACTCCGTATACCTACCATGAGAAATTAAATTCTCCTGCTAGTGATCACTAAATTACACATTGGTTGGAATAATAAGTGGAAAACAACAGTCAAATGTTTGATCTTGCCATTCTGCTTAGCTACAAAAAAAAAAAATAGGATAAAAAAGTTAATATTGTAAAGCACCATTCCCTGTGATAAACTTCCTAAGGCTTTGGCTTTTTAAGCACTTTTCAGTAACCTCTCTCTCCCTCTCCTGTTCCAAATATATAGAGCAGTACAGAAATGGGAGGGAAGAAGAAGACATACTTGTAACTTTTAAGTTACATGACTTATTTTAAATCAGAGAGGAAAATATCGATCCAGGTTGTTTTCAGGCTGTTCCCTTAAAACCAAGGCCTTAAGTGGTTTTGTTGTCTCCTTTTCTTTTACCAAAAAACTGGTGTGAGCTTGTAGGAGGTCAGGCTGTGCTCTCAATGGAAGCTTTTTCATTAGCCTCAGTGGATAAACAGCCATGACCAGTGACTTCAACATTCATATGTCCATTTTGGATTTCCTAATGTTTTTAATTCCAAGGTGAAGTCTAGTTGCGTGAGCATGCCATCCTGATGTCTAATGTTTTGTTTTTATGGACTTTGTGGCTTTCGACCTGGAATATTTTCGAACAATGGTTTGGTTTCGTTGTTTGTGTGTGTGTTTTTATTTATATAAGAATAACAATCCAAAGCCTTTATAATGTTTAATGTCTATGGTAATAATGTATACTTTTATAATTTGCAACTTTAAACCACTGAAAGATAACATAAAAAAACACCCATCACTGGAGAATTTTGTATACTTTCACTGAAATGATTAAGCATGTGCTAAGCATATGACATTTTCTGAAATATCATACAAATAGGGGTTTTTTAAGTATAAAAAAATAAAGGACAATTTTTCTCATGGTGCTAATGCTAAGATACGTGGTAAAGACAGTTTGTGTCTCTTGAAAGAGAGAATGCTGTCTTGGGGGTGGTGTCACTCTGAAATATTAATTCTGTTACAACAATGGCTGTCTCATTTATAAGTTCTCTGACTGCCTAATTTTTTTTTGGTGATCTGAAATGTATGATCTGGGATATTTGTTACCAAGAAGTGTTATAGACACCGCTGACACAGATCAATCAAGAAACTGATAATATATTCCCTATAATGCTACCTCCCTATGGCATTATTATGTGTGTCCTTCTGTGTGAAGAATTTTCTGAGCATGATTTGTAGTCAGCTCTAGAGATGTAAAGTTATTGAAAAGTCTTTTCTCTCTCCTAAGGAAAAAAAAAAAGGAAAGAAAATAAAATAAAAGAAAAAAGAAAAACATGTTTAAATTACATTTCTCTTTGAAAATGAAAAAAAAAAGTAAAACTATTTGGTTTTTCATTTCTCAAAGCTTGGCAGTTTTCATGTATTGCTCTGTCAGGAGCCTTGTCTTTTCATTCGGCTTCTTTTCTGATTACAGATTATTCATTTATGGATGGGCAGCTGTAGAAACTTGCTTCTTGCATATGCAAATTAATCATGGTAATGTTTATCATAAGGAGATTTTGTGGCAGTGGAAAAGGGGTTGTGTCAACATGTTCTTGATTTCAGTTGTATCTTCTACAAATGGAATTGGCCTCCTTACTTCACCTTCAGAGGATTTTTTTTTTTTTTTTTGCCATTTACCTCTTGGACTAGACACGGCTTACTGAGCAAGCTGTTTGATTCACTTACAGATCATGATTTTGGAAGGAGCTGGCAGAATGAGTATCAATTCCAGCAGCAATCTACTCCACCAGCAGCCTTCCTGGACAGACGGATATTCCACATGCAATGGTAGGAGCAATTCAGCCACTCTGAGCCATGTTCTTTATGGGGAGTAGGGGGAAAGAGACTCTGTACCTTTAAGCATGTACAAGTATTATTTTTCAGTAGTGCTAATTCACTGGAGTTTCACTTCTGGTAACAAAGATTTTTTTTTTTTTTTTTTTTTTTTTTTTTTTTTTTTTTTTTTTTTTTTTTTTTTTTTTTTTTTTTTTAAGTAAAATCCTGAACTTCCAAACCAGACCAGTTTATTGTTAATTTCCTTACTGCTTCTTTTCCTTAAAATTAAATTGTGCTGGAAGTGCCAAAAGTTCTCTTTTCTCAGTCCAGAATTCTTTCTCTCTTACTTTGCCCCTTATACCTCCTCTGAACCTGCCTTATTCTTCAGTGCTAATCACCTCTCTGGATTTCCAGGAGAATATTCCTTTTGCTGCTTTACTGTATGAGGCTTTTTCAACTCAAATTACTAGATAGCTTTCTAATTAGACTGGTATTAGAGCACTAGATAACTTGTGACTTGAGATTTTTTTTTCCTCTTACTGTTTTCTGGTTATATATCTGTGTCTATAAAGATGTATTCATATATATTTTCTCAATATGAAAAAAAAATATAAACCTCTCTATATATAGTGCGTGATATAATTTTAAAATTCTTTTAATTATTCAGTGAACTGGTAAACCTTAAAATCTAAGCAGAAAAACACGTAATGCAGTTGTCCTTCTAATCCAAATAAGGCTGCAACAGAACTTACAGTTGAAGTTCCCACTCAATGAAAGTCTTATTCTTTTTTGTGTGCAGTTTGTAGGTACACAGGAATACATCAACGTGTGCTCAATAAATGTGCTGATATGTCTGTAACAGATTCACACAGGAAAAAAGTCCTGGTTGACTTTCACTATGCACAGGATTTTGTGAAGGAAAATGGTGGGGGTCTATTTTCAAATTTCCAGTGTGAAACTCCTCAGGATTCACTTAAGTTTTGGAGGACAGGAAGCTCAGACCAGACTGCACAGTAATTCACGACTTCACTTACTTTTACCTAGCTGCTTTTTCCTCTCACTAAAGTATCTTCATTTACATTACGATTCTACCGGCCTCAGAAATTACTTAACCCTTCTGAAGTCCTAAGAATATGTATCAATCTCCGTTTCAGGGGCTAGTTGACAGTTTCATCGAAGCTGTTGTCTCTGACATACCACACTCTTATCATTTTCATTCTCATTTCTAAAATCCTTCAACAGGAGGATGAAAAACAGTCCTGCAAATTCCCTTAGTTATTGACACAGGCCTAAGTTAACTAAGTTACTACCTAAGTAACTATGCTTTTTTTGTGTCTAGCTGAGAATTAGCATTGTGCCCTGTATCTCAACTGAAGAGACCTGTGGTCTAGTGGCACCTGGGGGAAGGTGATTTCCTAAAATGTGCCAACTCTGTTGCTTGCCGTTCTCTAGCCATATCTATGGTGTTGTCAGTATTTCTCACAGCTGTGTGGTTAATCTGCTTCTATGGGAGACTGGTAAAGACTGGTGCCATATCCTAGAGCGGGGCTACTGCAGAGCTAGGCCATGGCAGTCTTTTCTTCTTCTGTAATCTCTCATTCCCTCAATCTTAAACCGTTTGCGCACTTGTGAACATTTTATCACACCATTACCTCTGCCTGGTATGCTCCATTGCCCTCCTTTCCCAAGAAATAAATTGCAATGAACTCTGTGAGGGCAGACCAAAAAGTAGTTCTGCCTTTGCTCTTATCTTATCTAATTATCCTATCCCAATTGCAATTTCTTTCATTTGCGCACGCAAATTATTGTCGTGCAATGACTTTTGACTGAGAACAGTTTGAAAGATCAACGAGAAAAGATTCATTCTAACAAGAAAATTAGGCAGCTTCTATAACTAAAAATGAATTTTATAGCTACATTCAGAAACCACCTTACCTTACTACAGCAATAACATGCATTCAGCTGAATGCCAAGCCAGTCATGAAGCTGTGGCCCATACTGACAGGCTTCGACTGTGGAGTAAGAGGAGAGAACTGTAGCTTTTAACCTTCTGTGACTAAATCCTACAATTTGTATTCATTTCCTGCTAAGCTCTTATTCAAAGAAAGTCTCCGTGTCATATTAGGAGAATTTTTTTTCCATCGTTTTCTTATGCACTAAAATT